TAGGATTTTAAAAATAAGTGAGCCAGTCCTGTCAGCCTGACCCTGAATCCTCCAGGACTGACAGTAAGCCTGGTTATTAAGATACTAAATATTTAGCATGTAGTATTATACAATAGGCTTGGGAAGAATGAGGACAGAGTGAGTGCTGGCATGTCATGTCATCAGAAACAATGTGTGGGACCTAACTTCTAGCAGGTGAAATATGCTAGTCTTGAAAAGGGGCCCAAAGTAAGTGATTCAGAAGGTAGGTGAGGGTTTGGGGTAGTAAGTTATTCTAAGTTTTAATTTATAGAGATGGCAATGGAGTCAAATGATTGGTAGCTCATAAACTATTTCAGTTAAAAAAATGGAACTATGATTAGACTGTCAAGATTATCAAAAGACTGACAAAATTTTATGACTGTAAATACAAGGTGGACAAAATTTAGTAATTCTTCATATCACTAGTGAAAATGGACTTCCTAAAGACCTTCCTAATGTTCTACTCTTTTCTCAATTAAATGAGACATAATATTTAACAATGTTCAAGAGTCTCTTAATACTTGTTTTTAAGTTTTAAAAAATCGCCTGGCTAGATCACTTTAAAGGACATATCAACTACTGACTAAACTATATTAAAATCTAATCAAGCATTTTATCCATAAATTAAGTTGGTTAAAGTTTATTCCAAAATAATCATGTATCTTTCTAAGTCTACAGAGCCATTTAGCATGACTAAACATGCAAGACAGATCTTAAACAATATCCTGTAAATTTCAGAAATCATCAATATATATATAGGAAGATCATAGCATAGAAAACAAATTGGCGTGGGAGGCTGGATAACAAGTACATACATCCACAATGTTATAATTCAAAATCAAAGCAGACAAGTCAGAGTTAATAAATACTTTATGGCAACACCACTAGTATGAAATTTTTACAAGAGAGATTCTGGCTCAATGTAAGAATTTTTTTTCACTTCAACTTTGATGAGGATTACATTTCCCCTACCCCTCCAACTTTTCTTCTCCAACAGCCCACCCTGAGTTCTACCCCCTCCACCCATAAAGATACTCTTTTTTTTCAAGAACACAATGACTCAAAATTTGTGGTGAATTTGTGAAACAACCAAATGGTAACAATATGTTTCACATATGTGACATGTTATTTGTGAGCTGTCATACCCACCAAAGATAAAATAATTTGCCTCTTTTCAAGGCAGGCTATCCAGACTAGAGGATTTTATGGGCTCAAAGAAGATGAAGAATCCCAAGAAATTTCAACTTCAAGTGATCACAAATATACTTCAATTCTACTTGACTTGCAAAAGGAAATGGCAAGGCAAATGCTGAAGTGGAGCAATGCAAATCTACAGCAGGGAATAATGTTCGACAGGAAAATAAATTCATCTACTTTTGTGTACATAGTTCATTTCCCATTGGAAAAACATATAAAATACAGCAAGAGTTCACAAGTCAGACTCCATCTCCCATAGACAGAGAGAGTTAAATATTCTCTCTGGATTGTATTGAAAGGCTCCAGAATATTATAATCCATAGTTGGGACTCTTTTACATAATAACTTACTTATCCTGCTGAACTGATGTGTTTCCCTGAGAAACAGTAAGATAATTAAAAACATTCAGTTCATTACAGGGCTGGCTTGGTGGGGAAGAAGGAGGTAAAAGACTAGCTTCTGAGGTTCCAGAATCTGAGCTACAAGGGAAAGAAAAAGTTAAATAGGTGGCGTTATTGGCTTTTATTTGTTAGAAATGTTATAAGAAACATGCTTTAAAAAAAAAGATTCTCAACAGAGAATTCCTTCCTTCCTTTCTTCCTGTCTTCCTATTTCATAAGATAAAATGCACTCTGAAAAATTTAATTTTTTCCCCACTGGATTGTTTTACAATGGCCACAAGATGGCACTAAAGAAAAAGTTCTGTCGGCTAAAATCTAAACTCAGTATGAATAAATCAAGGCAAATTTAAAATTATACAATTTTACAGTTGAGATCAAGATGCTCACTTTATAGATGAGGAAACAGACCCTGAGAGATTAAGAAGGATTTGCTTATTCAACTGATTAATTCATTTATTTTTTAATTACTTATTTCTCCATCCCCTATCTTCTAATTATTCTTGAGATACTTGATTCAGTAGAAACAGGTAAATTGCATCTTTAAATATAGGAAGCAAAGATGATTAGAATAATTTCCATGACATTCAAGGCAGCTAAACCAGTGGTCAAAGTAGAGAGTCTGCATAATGGTACAGGGAAGGGGGATGGTATAAGACTGTTCACTTGGGGGTACAGAAAATGCCCAAAAACTTCCTTTTATATTTATTTTATGTTGAAGAAATTGACTTTGCCAATATTTGAATAGAGATTGCCATTGATGCTCTCACTTAAGACTATGTCAGAGATCCACCTGCCATATGCAGCCCATTAGGTGACCTGAGGGAAATGTGAGTGTGCCGCAGGGTAGAAAGATGCAGTGGCTCTAACCCATTTATAACTTTCTGCATGTAATGGTGTTGCAATTTACAAATGCCCAGGTAAGTGAACCATTGGATTATATTATATACTGTTAGGCAGACTAACCCTCGCAAAACAAGCTAACCATCACAAAACACACACATAGCTTTTAAAGGATTTCAACAACTACAAGAAAAAAAATTAAGGATTTACCAATTTAAATATGAAAGAACAGCAAGAAAATAGCATAACTCTCAAATCTTTTAACACTAGATTTTTCAACCACTTTAAAGAGGTGAAATCAATGTCTGTTTTATCAGATAACAGTCAACATTAATTTCAAATTTTTCTAGAGGACTATTTGAATTACAGTTTTAATAAACCTCTCCTCAAAGATATATTAACTCCACAATGACATACACAAATAATTGAAAAATAAATCAGAGTACATGATCGATTTAATTTACAGGTATGTGTGTGACCAAGAGATTAGAAGACCAAAAGCCAACAGCTTATTTGATTGTCTTAAGTCAAATCAGTCACAATCCCAGCCTGAATATGGACAATAATTCCACTGCTGTCCTTTAGTATCTCAGTGCAGCCGATATTTTATACCATCTATCAGATAAAAAAGGATTAGCAACTGACTGCTTTTGTTCCTTGGCCTTTGGGTTTTCTGCATTCTCACACACTCTTCTCCTTGCTATGGGGGAAGGCTCTGGTGGTTTTTCTGATAGAGATGACTGTCTGGAAAAAAGAGAGAAAAAGATTCTGTAATCATCTAGTTTTAAATATATACATGTAACTTTGGCAATTCAACCTAAGTTTTTAATAGATTACTAACTAGAACTTGAAAAAGGTTACTTGGGAATAAAAGATAGAACTAGGATAGGAAAATATTACACAAGTTATTTTTAATTAATGGGAGCTTGACAACTGCATATTTAATTTTTAAATTGGAAATCTTATCAAAAATATATAAGCGGATTATATTTGAACATAAACATCAATGCAATACTGCCAAAAAGCTAACATGAATTTTTAAGCTTTAAATGTGTTTAAGTTTGATTAAAACTGCTTTAGTTGAAGAAAAATAGCCTTTACAATTTTGCAAGAACAAAAATATTAGAATATCAGAATATGAGAAACAATGAAATTTAGTGAATTATTATTACAGAGTCACAAAAGAATACTACAGGTGACCACAAAAAAGTGTTTTACTTAACTAGTATTTAAGTATTAGTTAGCTATATAAATTTTGGTAATAAAGATATTCTTGTTTTATTATAAATTTTAAATGTTGAATAACGGCTATGTAACTAACAATTTAAGGCTGATTTTTGTGTATAGTGGTACTCAATTTTAATAGGAAAAAAATGAAATTCTCTATCCTTGGCTAGTTATACTAATAAGGAAAAGAACACCAAAGAATTAGAAAGCAGGATCCTCAGAATGAGCTTAGAGTGATTCCTGCTTGAAATTGAAAACTAAATGTAACTAAACTTCATGTGCCTGATTTTTCTAACCAGAGGAAATCATATTTTAGAAGTTCTGCATCATTTAAGTCATAGGCCTACTTAGGTGAATTATTTTATTTTATGCAATTGAAGTCATGAAGTAATGTGTTATAAGAGTTATCGTACCAGCACATGACCAGCTCTTAAATTTGTACAGAATTACACAAGCATCTTAATTGATGGAAACTTGAAAATAAATCATGTGAAGAGACAGTATCTAAAAGATATTTTCTACAACCTGTCATGAATTATAACATTTTTAAAAAGAAAGAGGCAAAAAGAAGTTATTCTGGATTCCAGGTCATAGATTTAGCCTTGAATTTCCAAAAGTCTCTATACATCTGAAAGACTAAATGCTGAACACATGGGAGTTCCTAAAATTTGGTCTCAGTTCTGTATCACTACCTTCACCAAAAGCATTTCTTCTACTGTTATCTTATCAAAAAAGCAATGAAACCATAAGCCATCCTAGTTAGCAATCTTTATCAGCAAAATCAATCATTAATCACATAGGCCACCTCAAGCACAAGCAAGAAAGTTCTGCCATCTTTGAAATTAACTTTGGAACTAAAGGTAGCAGATGGGCTTACTGAAAGGAAGACAATGAAAATGACTTCATAAGATGAAGAAATTTATGAGAAACAGATATTCATGTTGGGGGCGGGGAGTTTGTTATATTTTATTATTTGCAGAGTCATCTGGTGTGTGTCACTTTTTTGGCACTATTTTTCAATGTGTTCATCCAGTAAATCATTTGCTAGGTCATATGTGAGGGTTAATTTGAAAAAAGTCATTAAAAATCTTTACCAGTGAATGATTGATGTAGTTGTAATACAACTAACAAAAAAACACACACACTGGCCTGTGTAGGAAAATCTTTCTTCTCAAGATAATTA